GAGAAATCTCTCTTTTGCCTTTTTTAAAAAGGGGGGGGTGTTGAGATGCGCCTATTTTGCTCTGATACATCTGGCAATCTTCAGGTCTAAATGTTTTTCTTGGGAAAATGCATTAACCCTTGTGAAAAAACAGACATTGGAAGAAGCCGATCCGTTGGTTACTTCAGCGAGCAGCCTTTTGCTAGACAATGGTCTTGTATTCCCCCCTTCTAGACAGCAAATGCTTTTCTTAATTATGTTAATTAATTTGTGGAGACTTTTAGGCTTATATTGAAGCTTTATGTGGGTCACTGTATGATCACTTTTTAACTGGATGAAAGAACTGCCAAGTCTGTACAGGGGGCCGTGTTCCTGAGTGTTTCATAGCATTGTGTAGTCCCAGGGTGAGAAATTTATAAGTAATTTTTCCACTGATCTTTTTATATAAAAAAATGTTCCTATGTTTGTGTGTGCTTCGTTTTTCTTTTCCGACCAGAGGCTGTGCTGTCAAGGAAGCTGCTGCTGATGGGCAGGGAGTGAGAGGGGAACAAGACAGATGAGGAGGCGGGTGCGAGGGAGGAAGAGAGAGAGCTCTGGTTGTCTTGGACTACAGCTCCCATGCTCCTCACCAAGGGGAAGCCGCCCTGGAGAGTTGGGCGCCCCAGAAGGCTGCCAAGGAACAGGGTTGAAATGCAGCAACTTTGGCAGGTCTGGGACTGTAATGGAAGGGCGCTCTGCAAAGGAGAGCCTCCATGGCCAGTAGCAGTTCAGCTTCGGCATAGGGCAAACGACTGAAGGTGGGGGGATTGGAAGCATTAGCATGGCTTTGGGCTCCCAGGGTGAGAGCTGTGGTACTCCTGCTCTCCCCACCTCTTTCGATGGGAGGCATCAGTTGCCATTGTTTCTCTCCCTTGCTAAGTGCTCACAGTGAGTGCAAAGGCCCCCGAGTAGAGGGTCCCAGGACCCCAGCAATAGTCGGAGGACCGCAGGCTCCCCACCCGGCCGGACGGGCAGCCCCAGCATCGACTGGAGGGCCCCAGGTTGGGCAGGGCTCGTGTTTCTCCCCCAAGCTACGGTAGGCGTGACTTTGATTCACAGAACTGATTTACTCAGTGGGCCAGGCTGGATTCTCAGGAGGCGCTGAACCCGAGCAAAGCCTTTGGGCAGGTTCGCACAGCCTGCCAGGCTAACGGGGGCTGCGACGCGGGGCTGAGCCAGGCGGTGAGAGATTTGCGGCCTGAGCGTTGCCAGAACAGCCCTTTAGTGAGGTTGAGGTGCCAGGCAGTTGTGCCGATCCAGAAAAGGGCCTCTCCGCAAGAGGGCTGAGTGGCTGCGTGTCCCCAGCCAAAGGGGCTCTCGGGACCACGGAGGCCTGACCTTTGGGCCCCTCGGGCCCCTCACGCTGGGCTGCAAGCCTTGCCTTGGCCTGGGGTTGATGCCCGCTGGGCAGCGGACGCCTGTTGGCAGGACCCATGGTGGCCTGGCCAGCGGGGGCAGGCTTACTGCCACAGCTCTCCATGGGGGAGGGAGAAGGGGAGGCGAGGCGAGGCTTCCCCACCCTCCGGGGCGTCCCTCCCGGCCGGCCGCTCGCAGCCGCCCAGCGAGAAGGATTCCCCCACCCACGGACGGAGAACAGTGGCTCCCAAGCATCATCTTTATTTTCCTTTTGAAAGGAGGTTTGGGCTGTTTCTGTTCCTTTTTTGTTTTGCTGCTCTAGGCCCGTGCCAGCCTGTTATTCTAATTTTATGTTATTTTTCTGAATCTCATTGTCCCCGAGTTGCCTTGCGTAGGCCCTTGTCGCCGGGACCGAAACCCGTGAAAGAATTTTGAACTTCTCAAGTGTTTCCTGCAATTGTCTCTCGGTTTTTGTTTGCGCGACTGACTCCAAAACAGATGGATGAGGGCACCTCTCGGTCTTGGGCTGGGGAGAGCAAGAGGGGAGCCGGGCTTTGTTTCCCGTTGTGACTGACGCACGGGGAGAAAGGTCTGTCACCCATAAGGGGGGCTGTCAGGTTCAGATGTCTTCATGCTAGAAGCAATGGGGGGCGTCTGGTTGCTGGAGAGCCTACTTTTCAGTTCCTTGGTTGGAAATAGGCGTCATTAGGGTAATAAAACAGACAAGAAATCGAGCTGAATTATTCCAATCAACAGCTTAGGAATAACTGAAAAAAAAACAAGAAGTGGCTGGTTTTACATTAGGTAAAGGATGGCCCGGTATTTGGAGGAGGGGTTTACCGAATTGTGACAACAATCCTCAACTCTGGACTCAGGCATGGCTCAGTGGGGGGTTTGCGCTGTGTTTCGGGGCTGAATGAGGGAGAAACACAGGAGTTCTGCTTCGGTGCGAGTTATGCCCTGGCAGGCTGGGCTCCCCCAGGAAACACGGGGATCCGGCTGACGCTCGCCTCCCAAAGGCTCATCTGCAGCCCGCCCCTCCGGGTGCCAAAGACCACCTGCCCCCAGGTGAGCCGGGAGCAGAACCAGCGCCAAAGCCTCTCGGCCACTCCTTATTCTGGCCCCGGCCCGGGCTGGCCGCTGCCCGGAGGGGTGATAAGAGCGGCCCACCTTCCGTGCAGGGCGGGCGTTACTTTTTGTGAGCGTCGGTTTGGGGGCTTTTCCCACAGCCTCGTCCTGGTGGGGCTGCGAGAAAAAGGCAGCCCCCGCCCCGTCCCCTGTGCAGAAAGGAGGTCTCATTCAGGCCTCATCTTCCTGGGTCACCTCTCCTTGGCCGCGTTCCCCTCCCCCTGCCCCTCCCCAGCCACACCTCCACCCCTCGGCTCTTTTCTTCCTGGAGATGGGCCTGTTCCCTGCACCCCTCGGAGCCCCTCTGGAGCCCCTCTGGTTCCTTTCAGAGCGGCATTGACGATGCTTTTCAGCCTCCCCCCCCCA